GTCAAGGGAGGGGATACAGATAAGGAATAAAAAAGACGAACAGAACAATACACAATTTAAAAGCACACAACAATCATACCATTCGAGGGTCATTGGACACTGCAAACGGCCATAAATGCATGCTTGTTTTCGAGTGCCCAAAATGTGATCATGTGACTGGGGTGGTGGTGGGGGGCTGACTCAAGAACTTTGAATCCAGGTTATTAGTCCCTTTTTGGGGGGCCTGTTGTAACTTTGGTCACTAAGCAACTGGTTGTACATTGAGGACTAGTAGTACTTGTATTCTGGAAACAGCTCTGAAAAACTACTTTTAACACTGATGACATGCCATTATAGCTTACAGGTCATCCTTTGGTTGGCAGGTGAATCAGAAATAGGTTGCTTTATTCCCTTTGCTAAAAGCCCAGGTGTGCAGCCTGTGGAAAGAAGTGTTTCAACCAGGAACCTGTTATTGAAGGAATGTGAACCTTCACTCAGAGCAGAAGCAAAAGAGTTATGGGCCAGAACGCAGAGATTATATAGGTGGCAGGTTTTGTGCAGCAGAATTGTACTTGTGATTTGTCTATTTACTGGTAGTCCTTGACTTACAACCACAATGGAGACCAATATTTCTGTTGCTAAGTGAGACATTTGTTAACTGAGTTGTGTCCCGTTTTATTACTGTTCTTGCTACATTTGTTAAGTGAATCGCTGCAGTTAAGTGGGTAACATGGTTAAGTGAATCTGGTTTGCCTATTAACCTGGCTTATTAGAAGGTTGTAAAAGCTGTTCACAGGACTCCAAGACCCTTCAATGCCATCATAAATATGAGTCTGTAGTTTGATCATGTGACCATGGGGGGGAGGATGCAACGGTGTGAAAACCGGCCATAAGTTAATTTTTCCCATGACATTGTAACTTTGGTCACTAAATGAACTGTCGTAAGTCGAGGACTACCTGTATTCAGCTACTAACCTACAGTATTTCAGATGTAATGCGGATTGCAGATTAAAGGGGTATCTCTCTTTTCTTTGAAAGTCTTATAGAAGAAGGAGGAGATTGGGATCGTCGGAATCGGCTGAAGGTCTATCAAGGCCTTTACTGTGTGGCCATTCGGGACTTCAAGCAGGCAGCCGAACTTTTCCTGGATACCGTTTCGACCTTTACGTCTTACGAACTTATGGATTACAAAACGTTTGTGACTTACACAGTGTATGTCAGCATGATCGCATTAGAAAGGCCGGACCTGAGAGAGAAGGTAGGGCAAATTGTTTAGTAGCATAGAGAAGCCACAGAGTCTGTGTTTCCTTATGGCTCTGCTCTGATTTTTACACCCCTCCTTACCCCCTTCCTCTCTTCTTTGACCTACTTTAGGTTATCAAAGGAGCTGAGATTCTGGAAGTGTTGCACAGTTTACCCAAAGTGCGGCAATATCTTTTTTCCCTCTACGAATGTCGGTATTCAGTATTCTTCCAGTCATTGGGTAAGAAATAGTTTAGCTTTATGATTTTCTGTGAAATCCTAAATGGTTGCGAACACTTAACAATCTATCGAGTAACAGGCTGAGTTGCTCCGATGCTCATATCTCATCTTTGAAGGCCAAAGTGCTCCAAAACTGTGCGAACCATTCCCAATTGTGGGTGGGTGGCAGAAGCGAATGTGAGGTTTCTTACAAAAATGAACGGTAGCTGTTTGCAGATGTGGCCACTTTACAGGGCAGTGGACAGGGCAAGCAAAAAAGATGGCAGGAGTTCTTCAGAAGAATGGGAGGGATGCAAGTGAGATTGGACATTGGTTTTCAGATGGTTGGGGGAGGGGGTTGCACTTCTAGAATAGGTACAGTGCAGTGGTGGGATTCAAAATTTTCACTACCAGTTCTGTGGGCATGGCTTGGTGGGTGTGGCAGGGGAAGGATACTGTAAAATCTCCATTCCCACCCCACTCTAGGGGAAGGTTACTGCAAAATCCCCATTCTCTCCTGGTCAGCTGGGACTCAGGAGGCAGAGAATAGATGA